AGTAAATTGAATAAAAAAAAATTTTTAATGGAGACCATAAAAGAAAAAATTCATAAATTGGCCTTCATCAAAATTAAGTTTCTGGTCTTGTTAAGAAAATATTAAGAAAATAAAAAGACAAGTCAGAGAGGAAATAATACTTGCAAAGCACATATCTGATGAAGGACTTGTTGCCCAAAATATACACAGAACTCTTACAACTCCATAGTAAGAAAATTTTTTTTAAATGGGAAATAGGCTTGAACAGACAGTTCACCAAAGAAGATATATAGATGGCAAATAAGCACTTGCAGGGATGCTCAATATAATTAGTCATAAGGTAAATCACAAAAATAACAAGATACTACTACATTTTCACTAGAATGGCTAAAATTTAAAAGACAGACAATACTAATTGTTGGCAAGGATGTAGAGGAACTAGACTTCTCACACACTGTTGGTGGGCTGCAAGGTAGTACAGTCACTTTGAAAAATAGTCTGACAGTTCCCTATAAATTTAGACACCATAAAATCAAGCAATCTCACTCGTAGGTATCTACCTAAGAGAAATGAAAGCCTATGTCAACACAAAGATCTGAGAAAAAATGTTTATACTGGCTTTATTCATAATCACCAAAAAACTAGAAATAAAACAAATGTTCATCAACAGATTGTAGGATATTAATAACAAAATATTACTCAGTGATAAAAAGGAATGAAATGCTGATATATGCAACAAGATGAATGAATCTCAAAAAAATTATGCTAAGTGAAAGAAGTCAGACACACACAACCACTTTATTATTCCATTTACATGACATCTAGGGTAAAATATCACATCAGACACACATAAGAACTGGAGGTGGGGAAAAGAGATTGACCGCAAAGGGAAATGAGAGAACTTTTTAGGGTGACAGAAATCTTCTATATCTTGATGGTGATGGTGGTTAGATGACTCTATAGATTAATAATTGTCAAATTTTTTTCTGCATCTAAATTATACCTCAATAAACCTAAATTTATAAAATTTAAAAATACATACCTTTTTACCGAGACACCCCACTTTGAGAAATCTATTCTACAGAAATAAATGTGTCAATATGTATATAAATTAATGGACATTAATGGGGGATGATTAAATAAAATACATTATATTCAATACTATAGAATATGATGTAAACAATTTAAAAGACCTGAAAATCGTCATTTGAGCGTTATGGTTTGTGGGATCTGAAAGAATAGTTCTCATTCCACTGATCTCAGCCCTTTTGCTTAATTGAAGTTAGAAGAATGGGCCACAACTGGGTACTATGAGCCTCTTTTGCTGAATTCATTTGCCACAGTCACACAGTAAAGCTGACCACAGGAATTCCAGCCCAGTTTGGACTGAAAGAAGAGGCAAAAAGCCCAAAGTGACAGCCAATAACATGACAAGTCCTCCTAAGTTATATTAGAAAGCATCTTGAGTAATGCCATCCATTTATAATGGCCATGGTTCCGGGTGCCTGGTTATTCCTTGCCCTCTAAGAGTTTATGTGCTAAACAAAATCCTAGAAAATGTATTGCCCCTTAAAGGCTAACTATCAACTTTCATTTTCTGTTTCTGTTTTTCATTTGATTCTAGTACAGGGATCTGTCCCAAAAGTTCAATTTACACCTCAAAGGGGTGGGAGTGGGAGGGGAGGGGAGACAAATAACTGAACCTGAACCTATAAAAGTTATTTAATAGATGTCAAAAGTGTCCCTTCAAGTAGTCTTCAAGCGAATTTGTTCATGATGTACACAGCAGAACACTTTCAACACATTTACAGAGCGTCATTACATTAAGAATCCTGAGAGCACAAAAAAATGGAAGACATGGTCCCTGTTCTTTCTGAAGGGCTCCTACCCAACTCGCCCTCTCATGTGTCACTCCTTGATTAACATGCACGGTGACATTAACACTCTCAGACTCAAGAAGCTACAGGACACATATACATTCGGTGTTGCTGAGTCAGCGTGATAAGCGCAGCACACAACGCATCACCATTTAAAATAGTTCTATCACTGATGTTCCACTGGAATTACTCCACCACTTTCCTGTCACCTTAGATTTTACTTCAAAAACCCTCTAGGTTAGGTAAGGCTAACGTTATTTCCAATACCGTGTAAATCAGTCACATAAAAACATTAAAACATGCTTAAGACCATGGGAAAATATAATGTACTTTACTAAAAATGTGATATAATGGGGAATACTTCAATAAGATATATGCATTGAAGGATGATATCCTTTTCCATGAAGTGGGCTGTCCCAAGACTATAGAGTTGTTTCCTGTTATTAAATGGTCAAAGCTAGAATATCATTTGCCCTCATCTGAGAGGCAGCTGTTTAAGAGAGATCATGAGCTAGCTGTACTGCAGATTATGAAGTCATGCCTCTCACCTCAATGCTAAAAGTCAAATCAGCTGAAATGGAACATCTAAGAATGAGGGCTTGCCTGTGAGGTGGAGGGCAACCAACCATCTCTTTAATATGCCTTTAACCATCTGACATTCCAAGCACTTTATTAATTTCTTACTACACTAACATTTCAATCACTTTATTAATTCTTTCCTATACTGTGATCTTAGTTGTCCAATTTTAAAATAAAGAACATACCACTAATTGACCGGAAAGCAATTAGGATATTTGTTTCATATACATTTCATATACATGAAATTCTGTAAATAATTGGGAAGAGGGGTCGAGGGGAGGGCAGAGGCATGAGCAAGTGATCTCTTCTGAGATTTTGGAGGCCCAGTTTCCTCATCCTGTTCCCACATAAATACTTCCACTGCAGATATCTCAAACACTGTGCCAGAGTTATACAAAATAAGTGGCACATCACCAAGCAGAAATCCTAGAGTAGGTGTTCTGAACGTGTTGGTAAAGAAAGTCACTTCATCTGAGAGGTCTCTGCCCCTTCAACCTCACCCTCTTTACCAATATACATTCATCACTGAAAAGGGAAATATTTACAAAAGTTAGTTTAGTTATGTTTAAATATTATGTTTAGCTGTCTGGAGACCATGTTCTCAAAATTTATACAAGAAATCAAGGATTAAACTTCATAACAATTAGAAAACCACACTGTGTAAAATCAAAGACTTAGTTAAAGGACATTAAAATAGTTTTACCATCGGTGCTAAACTGAAATGACTCCATCTCTTCCCAACACCTGGAGCCAAAACCTTTTGAACTTTCATGTAAACACACCGGGGCACACCAAACGCTCTGTCTGCGGCAAGGTACCACCTCTGCACCGGCATTGGGGTGAAAAATGTGGAAAATGCCTGAGGACTCTTTGAAGCAGCTTGGGAGAAGTAAGAGCAGGAAAGAGGCTCTTCTCTAGGGTAAGTTTGTTTAGCAGAAAGTAAGCAAGTTGTCAGGGTAAAAGTTGACAATGTTGATTCCAACAGTTTGAACTGCGAATAAACATCCAAAGGGATTATGTTACTGAGAATTCGAAAAGATTCCATTGAACTCAATGGAACACTTGTGTTTTCAAAGATAATATGCCTTCAAGCCACACACTGGATCCACAGTTTAGGGTTAGAATTACCCTAAGCCCTTTCTATGCCACATTAAAGAACACGGGGTCTGACCTCTCTAATATGTGCCTAAAAGTATTAGAATAAGGATGGAATAAAAATATTTCACTTCCAGTAACTGAACTGGAAAACACTAAATACATGTACATTTGTACATTTGAGGTAGACTGAAAAATTTGGAGAGAAATCTATGTTCTTCCCAGACATCTAAGCTTAAACACAGTTTCACTAACCAATTTAGGGAAATGCATGCATTGGCCATAAATCACTTTTAAGTTCTTCCCTCTTTAATGAGCTATCAAAGACCAAAAAACAGGGCCTATACTTATGAAATCCATAATCCTCTTTTCTGCTCACCAAAACCACATTTAAAATCTGGCTTTCATCTCATGCTGTTGGGTTTTCTACCAGGTACAAGATGAAAAGTTGGGAAAGACTTGTGCTTTTTCAAAAGCAAAACAATTTGGTTGCCACTCAGCAATTCCTAGTGAAATGCCAGAAAGCCTGTAAAAAAGAAAGTTCAAATTTTCCTAACTTGGACTTTAAAAAAAAAAAAGTGTGAGATGTTCCTAGCCTGTCAGACATTCCATCTTTTTCTTTTTTAAATATTCATAAACAAGGAAAAATGCACTTTTGATTTGATAAAGTTTATGTGGATCAATAGAATACAGGTCTGCCTTCCATGCCCTCAAGAAAATGGAGGGAACTTGAACAGCTCTTCTCAGTTCATCTCAAGTCCTTCATGCTTCTCCCATCAGAGTCTGCTACTAGGACCTTTTCCAAAGCTTAACAAAGGCATGTAACTCCCATGCTCTTTACCAGCAAAGTTTGCAGGGAACCCGGTAAAAAGTTCTTTCTCCTTTGAGCTCTCTCTCTCTCACACATATTCACTTCCCTCCTAGAACCAAGGATGTAAGGGAGTACGGCTCAGTCTTACAGCCTCTTTGCTCTTAAAAAGAAAATCAAATTCCCCAGATATTTTCAAACTTCACCAGGAACAAAACAGGCTCAGCTCTGCCTGTGGACCATTATCTCTTTCACATTTCATCTTTATATTCACTGGGTTCATAGAAAGGGCATACACAGAAAGAGGAAAATAGCTGCTTCTTAGACACCAAATTTAGTAATTCTCTCAAATATACTGGCACACATCTAAAAAGGCCTATTTTTATAAGGCTTCGTTAGGTTTTCATTGGTTCTGTCTTTTGAGAACACACATGCTGATTCTCCCATAACTTCAAGCCGAAATACATCTGCAAACTACAAGAAATATTTTTTATAGGAAGACAAGAGTCATCACAATTAAAAAAGGGATATAGTGAGTAGAGTCAGACAGATGTGGGCTCATCTGGATCCCACTTTAGTGTCTCCCAAGCATCAAGTTGCTAACTGATGGAGGCCATCAATCTACGGTGCTCTAAGGTTCCAGCCAACTCCAATAGCCTTACCTGTTAATATGAGATTACTGTACGTATTGGAGAACTGCTCCTTTAGAAGAACCAGATGCATCTGAGCTGCTTTCTCCCGTTGCAGCTCCAGCATAATGTCGGGATGCTGGGCAATCTTGCAGCCTTTCTGTTTATCCAAGGCAACATCGCTTCGAACAATGTCTACAAAAAGAAAAAAGGCAGGCAGCATAAATGAAAAAAGCAAAATAAAACAAAAAAAAACATACACACATCAAAGTCCTATTTTACCCCAAAAATGACAGAATTTATAAACGACCAGTATTTTCATCAGAATGAAAAGATTCACAAGTAATAAACCTGAGGGTCTCCCACTGCATGACACATCCTGCAAGTTTCTCAGGTCATTTCCAAATTTTTGGGAGACTTTTTTTTCTGTTTCTTATCTCTGTCTGAACTCATTTAAGATTATCACTCCTCCATTTCCCTTCTAAATTCACCTCCAGAGCTTATCTACCTCCTGCGGCCCTTTCCTAACAGATTTTACCATTCTTCATGGGGACAAATAATACAACCTTGTCTGAATACAACTGACTGTGAAGGTCATTTCCTCTACCTCATGCCCAGGACCAGGTGATAGCTCCAGCATTTACACTCAGGATACTTGGCCTGTTTTCAAATTTACCTCCCAGCCAGCCCATTCAGCTCAAACTAGGGTTGCTGTTCTGTGGGTTTGCTGCTCAGGGTTTCTCCTGCTATTTTCTCATGTACCTCTGGGTACATCCTTACTCAATAATCACTCTTTAAATCCAGAAGTATTTTGTGAGTCACTGAAGAAACAGGAGTAGAGCTAGAGTCACTTTTCAAATCTGCCTCTTTCTCAAGTATTTCCCATTAGTGATAGGCTGCTTTTTAGACTTCAGTATGAGTTTCACTCGAAGTAGATGCATACTCCAGAAAATAGCCTTCTTCCAAAGCCAACATTCATCTAGAATGCTTCTCAATTAAGGTAGCTTCCATGCCCTGAAGTTACTTGTTTTTACAAATTAAAATATAATTCAGCTGATTATCATAAAAACAAATGATATTATCAACAGCAATCTGTATGATAACTCTAGAGACTTTCAAGTTTTACAGAGCAAACTATTTTAGGAGGAAATGCTACAAATAATAATAATAATAACTGCTCTGCCACTGTTGACACCAGCGGCTTCGGAAGGGAAAAACAAATGGCCGTGTTGATAGTACCAATAAGAAAAATCTGGCTTTTTCAGCAATGCTCAGTGACATTTTTTTTTTTAATTGGGCCTGTGACATGAAAGGTGGAACTTCGGTGTGGACAAATAATCTTCAAACCCATAAAGAGAGCCCCAAAAGAGGCCAGAGAAAAATAAAGACCCATGACAAGGAGGTTTAGAGTGTGGGGAACACAAAGATTACCCAGGTGTGGGAATGGGCCTCATTCATTCTTAGATGAAATTAGGGGAGCTGGTTGAAAAGAATGCATTTTTATGCCTAGTCATATTTATACCGATTTGTAGAACATAGGCAATAAAGTGAACCCTAACATTCAAGTAAGTAACCAATCTCATATTTTTTTGAATCTTCAATACAAAATTAAAATAAATTAATTCAAGGATACAGTCTAGTTTTTAAGACCATCCATAGAAGCCAAGAGGAAAATAACTCTAGTTTACATTTATTTAAATTACACTCTATAAAAATTTGTATTTACACGGTGTCACTGAATCCTTCCAACAATCCTGTGAAAGTATGTAGCAGACATTGTTGATTAGCTGACCCAAATCCTAAACACAATCCCTTCTCCTTTGCCTTCCGCTATTGTAGAGACTGAAAAGTTAAAATACACAATTTCCCAGCTTTCCTTGAAGCAAGAGGTGGCCATGTGACATGGTTCTGGCCAATAAGCTGCAGGCACACATCCTTGGGAGGACTTCCCTTGCCAAATTAAAAGACAAAACCTCACTAAGAGTAAACCAGGTTTTTTTTCCCTTCGGTCTTTTAGACCTCCCTGTTCTTTATGCCTGAAACAAACATGTAGCCCAGAGCTATTAGTAGTCATTTTGTGGCAATGGGTCAGGAAGCAAGAGGGCAAAGAACTCCACACTAAAGATGGTGAACAGAAAAATGGGAAGAGCCGGAGTCCCTAATGCCTCTATGGAGTTACCATAGCTACTATGCTTGTGCTAGACTGCCCATCTCTTGATTTCTTATTACATGAGATCTAGGCACTGTTTGTATAAGCCATTAATAGTCAAGTACATATTTTTGAAATCCTAATCTGTGTTTGTAATCTTAAATGATAAAGAATATTATTACCGATTGTATGTATGAGAAAACTGAGGTGCACAAAGCTGAAGTGACTTGTACACATAGCATGGTCACTTCCCAAATCTAGTAAAACATAGATATGCTATATGAGCTCCTCATTCAACCTTAATCTGCCTGACATTGTATCAAAAACTAGATAAACACAAAGCAAGATTACTTATCAAAGATGTACATGGTCATATATCTGGAGGAAGAGTTAATACCATAGATGATAGACTCAAAATTCAAAATTATCTTGGCAACCTAGAAACTTAGGCTGAAATTCCCAAGATGTAAGTAAAGACATGAACACAAAGTTTATACTGAAAATTAATTACATAAGATAAAGTGGGAAGTCCAGACCAGAGGCTCAAATATTTAAGATTTTATTAAGATTTGTAGAGTTTGGTTGAATACAAGCTTAATATAAGTCAGTAACATGCTGCCAAATATGACAGTCCTGCCAAAAATACTAATGTAATCTTAGACTAAGTTGATAGAACCAGAACCTTCAGAATACAGAAGGGAACATAGCCACACTGCATTCCATGCCAGCCAAGGGCAGCAGAACGAAGAGCTGGAGTTAAGCAGACCTCAGTTCAAATTCTGACTTGGTGGTCACTTATTAGTTGCAGAAATGACAGAAGAAAGTGCCTCTGTCAGCCTAAATTTCTTCATCTACTATTATTGTAAAGAGCCATAAAAGACCGAGCACTGCAACACACCACCTAATAAGAGTTCTATAAAGATTAACTATTATTTTTTGTGTTTTAGTATCCTACTTGTGGTATTATATTTATATCCAGCTGTAATAGTCTCAGCAAGATACTAACCATCTAGAGGGCATCCAAAGAAAAGTACCAAGATGGGAAATAATTTTCTTTTTAAAAAATAGCTGAAATTTTGAGAGTGCTAGGCCATATGAAAGAAGACTTGCTTTCGTATGGAAGAGATAACTGGCTTATGCTGTGTAAATCTCAAAAGTCTAACATTATGGAAGTAACCAAAAGACATACTATGCAGCTCCACTGGAGAAAACTGTAACAAGGAAGCTGTCATATAAGGAAAAGAGCTACTTGAGGATGGAGTGAGTTTCCTGTTCCTGGAGATAGCCAAGCTGAGACTTGGTGACACAGGCACAATAAAATGATTTCAGTGTACTCAGCAAAGCCTGCCAAGTACAGGGTTAGGTACATTCTCTGACATTATGTGAGGCAATATAATAGATAGTTAAAGGCACAGGTCTTGAATTCAAACAGATACATCATTAAGAAAATGAAGAAGACACAAAGAAAATATTTGAAAATCACATATAAAATAAAGTATATAAAGAAAATTTTTACAACTTTTTTTTTTTTTTTAAGCTGAGCCATCCCGCCACCTGTTGGCAGCTCACGGCTGCTCAGCTCGGGCTGACTCGAACCGCTGTTGCTCAGAGCTCAAACTCTTGAGCGAGCTCTTAACCAACTGAGCCACTCAGCCGGCCCTACAACTTATAAAAAGACTAACAACCCAGTTTAAAATGGACAAAATATCTGAATAGATATTTCACCAAAGAAGATACACAAATGGCTAATAAGCACATAAAAAGATGCATAACATTAGTCATTAGGAAAATGCAAACTAAAACCACAATGAGGTGTTACCCATTCAATGACTATAATCCAAAAGGCTGACAATATCAAGTGTTAACAAGGATGTAGAGCAGCGGTTCTCAACCTATGGGTCGCGACCCCTTTGGGGGTCGAATGACCCTTTCACAGGGGTCACCTAAGACCATCGGAAAACAAAAAGATATTTACATTATGATTCATAACAGTAGCAACATTACAGTTATAGAGTAGCAACGAAAATAATTTTATGGTTGGGGGTCACCACAACATGAGGAACTATATGAAGGGGTCGCAGCATTGGGAAGGTTGAGAACCGCTGATGTGGAGAGACGGGAGCCCTCATACATTGCTGATAGGAATGTAAAATGGGACAGTCCCTTTGGAAAACACTTTAGCAGTTTCTTAGGGGAAAAAAATATATAAACTTACAGTAAAAACCAATAAATCACTTCTAGGATCCAACCCAAGAGAAATGAAAGCATATGTTTACACGAGGACTTATATATGAATATTCACAGTGTCATTGTCTATAACAGCCCAAACTGGAAACAACCCAAATGTCCATATACTGTTAAATGGAAAAACAAAATGTGGTAGATGCATACAGTAGAATACCACTTCTCAATAAAAAGAAACACACTACTGATAAATGCTAGACCTGGATAACCTCAACAACATAGGCTAAGTGAAAAAAAGCTAGACACAAAATGATTATGTAGTCTATGAGACTATTTATGTAAAATTTCTAGAAAGGGCAAATCAAATTAATTCAAGACAGAAAATTACCAGTGGCTTCCTGAGGCTAGTATGGAAGCAAGGATTGACTGCAAATAGGTTTGAGAATGTTCTGGGCCGGCAGAGTGGCGCGATGGTTAAGAACTGGCTTGGGATGCCAGAGGGCCTCGGTTTGGATCCCACATATGAGGGTCAGTGACACTGCCCTCTACAGCTAAGATGCTGAACAATAGTTCGACCTGGAGCTGGGCTGCCGTGAGTCGCCAGCAACAGCATAGGCTGCAACCCCTGCTGCAGTGGGTTGCCATGGGCTACCGTGTGTAGCCAGCAGCCAGCGTGAGTGGCCAGCAGCCGCCATGAGCGGTCGACCAGAAGCCGGCAACTGATCTGCCTCACCCGGGAAGAGTGTAATGATGGTGCCAACTTGGGCCAGTGAAGCAACGTCCTCCACTAGACTGAAGAACAAAAGGACAGCAATTTGTCTGTTCCCCTTCCCCCAATTCCCCAGCACTGTTCCCATCCCCC